CTCTTCAAGCATAGGTCAACTCACATTAGTGCCTCTCTCTACCGACCCATCGAACCCTGAGCCGGATGATTTGGGTACGGTATATCCCAACCCATCCTAATCTACAACAGGTGGGATGTACAGTAGTACACATAACATAGTCTATTAGTAATAAATTCAAAAACACAACCAAAAACAACACCAAATCCATCCAAGCATGGATGAATACAAAGGCTCAACCGCCCGCAGCCAGGAAGCTCAACAGACTCCCCAGCGTCAGCCCCGCGACCAGCATCAACCCCATAAACGCGCCGGCGGGCTCCCGCTCCTCGGCGGGGACCTGCCCGGCGCCCATCATACAGTTACTGCCCAGGTACCCGTTGGAGACGCCGAACAGCCACTGCACGACGACCAGGTAGAAGAGATCGCTCTGCACGACGGCGCCGCGGCCTCGGATGTTGCACAGCTGGTACAGCGGGATGAAGGCGGCGCGGGCGCAGGCGAAGATTAGCAGCGCCCCGGGCCCCCAGGGCCGGTGCACCAGCGAGAGTGGCGGCCACAGCACCAGCATCCGGCCTAGGAGGTCGCCGGCATTCCAGAAGAAGAAGGCTAGCGGAATGAAGACGGGGGTGTCGAAGAGGCGCGATGATGACCCCGACCCGTTTCGGTTGACGGATTCAATCTGCGCGGTGAAGACGGGGAAGGTCATCGTGATGGTGAAGCAAAGGATCATGGCTAGGGCGGTGAATCGAAGGCGCTTGAACAGAGTCCAGAGGCTGATGGTTCGGGTTTTGGGGTTGGGGTTGGATTCGGAGGTGTCGTCGTCGTCGTCGTCATCGTCGTTGTTGTTGCTGTTGGTGGTAGTGGTGGTGGTAGCACTGAGGCTGGGGAATTGGGAGCGGCGTTTGACGAGGGAGGTAAAGGCGATGAGGGCGAGGGAGGAGACCGCGGTTGCGGTGATGAAGTACGCGAAGGCCGACTTGGAAGATTCCTGCGGGGGAGCAGGAGCGTGGTCTTGGTCGTTGTCGTTATCGCCTCCTGCTCGGTTGGGTGCGACGGAGAGGACAGAGACAATCTGAACGATACACGGTAGTACGCCGGCCACGCCCTGGCCGCTCATGATGGCCTGTGTGTATTCCTCTCGTCCGAAGCCGGCAACGTACGCGTAGACGCCATTCTGGTTGATGCCCGTGGCGAGGCTGGCACCGAAGACCATGAACATCAAGAAGGCGAAGTAGGTGGCCACGGAGACATCCTTCATGAAGATTGTCGAGAAGGCTAGGAGGGTGAAGACCACGATGTTGATCAGCAGCGAGACGACCGTCCGCTTGGGATAGGAGGCGCCCTTCTGGAGCTTGGCGAGGATGAAGGACGACCCCAGGTTCGTGACCGTCGACACGGTCAGGATAGAGGGCTGATAATGAGTCGCTGCCCAGTCATCCGTCTGGAAGCGATGATAGAAGTATGGAGCTGCTGCGAGGAACATGTTCCTACGGTCATCGAGGCACGCTGATTAGCAAGCGGGCGCTGTATAGTTGGTGGACGATAAGGAGAAGCATTGAGCTGGTCCTTCCGGGCTCACAATAAACGTACCATGCCCACAACATAGAGACCCCCAAGAGGAGAAACACCGCATATTCATATGCGGAGAAAGGGGCCTGCTGCGGAGCCGTCGACGCGGCATCGCCAACCTCGGACTCGTTATCCTCGTTATCCGACTCCGCAGGCTGCCGGATTGCCTCATACGTCACTTGCGGAGCGAACTGTTTGCGGATCCGGGTCATTGTTGTGGTGGTAGAAGAGTCCCTTGGTGGAGAGCTAAGAGAGACCCGGAGAGGAGAGAGATCAATCCATAGTATGTATGTCGGTGAAATGAGAAGAAGAGGTCACGATGCGGGGGACAAGCAGTGAAGGTCATGAGGATGTGTCGGAGTTGCCAAGACTGACCAGTCGGACTGATCGACTGACTGGTCACGTTCGGGTGACTAAGACAAGCAGGAAATGCATGAGGAGAGTTGGGTATTTCTTCTTCTGTACGATCGATCTCTCTATCCAGTCATCCAGGAACAATAATAGAAAATACAAAAACCACAGAACTATTACATACATCGTCAGGCGCCCCACCATCTAGGAACAAGTATATATGAGTGAGCCACATGTAGATAAAAAAGCAAGCCCGGTGGTCTACGCGGCTCGAAAACGTCAAAACATGTAAACATAGAACTGAAGAATGCTTGAAAGTGTCGGCCCAGTGACTCCTTCTATTGCTTTTGCTGAGCAGGCTCCTCGCGAGGCTCTTCAGCCTCAGCTTCATCTTCAGCATTCTCAGTCTCCAACTGCCATAACTTCTCCTCTGTCTCAGGACTGACGGGTGCCCGGGGAGGAGTGGCATCGCCGCCACTCAATTGCCATTCCATCAATTTGGTGAATGCTCCATCAGGGCGGGCACTCAGCTCCTCATAACTGCCTTGCTCGGCCACCTTGCCATCGGGGGCAAGCACGATGATTGTGTCCGATCTTTTGATAGTAGAAAGCCGATGGGCGATACTGATAGTCGTGTTGTTGCCGCGGAGCAAGGCAGCAAGGGCACTGTTAACAAGCGTCTCAGACTCCGCGTCGAGCGCCGAAGTCGCCTCGTCCAAGATCAGAATATCAGGATCCTTGATCAGAGCGCGAGCAATGGCAATGCGTTGCTTCTGGCCACCAGAGAGTTGAGCTCCGCGAGGTCCGACCTGGGTGTCGAGGCCATCCGGCTACCGAACATGTGTCAGCTGTGAATGCTTTCCAAATCATTTCAACCACTTACAAAGTCACTGATAAATTGGCAATTCGCCTTCCTGGCAGCCGCGATGATCTCTGACCTAGTTGCGTGGGGACTTCCATAGGAGATGTTTTCAGCGATTGTTCCAGAAAACAAGACAGGCTCCTGTGCAACTACACCTATCTTCCTGCGGAGAGACTTGGCATTCATCCCACTGATGTCCTTGCCACCGACCAGAACGCGTCCTGCAGTGGGGTTGTAGAATCTCAGCAAGATAGAGCCAATGGTGGACTTTCCTCCGCCTGAGGGTCCGACAATGGCGACGTTTGTACCCTGAGGAATCTCGAAATTGAGATCGCGGAAGATAGGGACCGCAGGGCGGGTAGGGTAACTGAACGAAACATTCTCGAAGCGGATGGGGCCACGGGCAGATTCAACCTTGACGCCTTTTGTGGGTGAGATTGTTGGCTGTCGGTCCTGCAACTCAAATAGACGACTAGCCGCACCGACACCTTTCATTAGTTCGGAATAGAAGCTAGAGAGACCAAACATGCTGGACCCAGCATAGGCAGTATACATCAAGAAAGATGTGAGCTCTCCGATGCTGATGGCGCCTGATTTGACCATTCCACCTCCCACATAGAGTAGAGCAAGAATGGTCATATTACCCATGAATCCGGTCTACGGGAAGTCAGCAAAACGTCCAACAAATCGACTCAGGGTACCATACAGAACTAAAAAAGGTCGCGCTGATCAGAGACTCTTTCTTACCGAGCTCGAAGATCTTGCGAACTTGAGTATTGTAGCGGTTGACCTCCAGGATCTCACCGGCAAAGGATTGACTAGTTTTCACGTTGCCCAAACGTTCTTCGGCGATCTTGGTAAGAGTCCCGAGATTCCTCTGGATCTTGCGGCTCAGGTTTCGAATCGATCTTCCATAAAAGAAAGCCCCTAAGCCAATCGGAGGAAGCAAGAGCGCCAGGATACTGGACAACTTGAGACTGACATAAGCCATGAGGCCAAATCCTGCCACGCCACTGACCGTCGCTCGGAGTCCGTCGGAGAGATTCTGAGTGATACTTTTGCCAACGATAATCGTGTCAGAGCCAAGACGTGAGATCAGATCACCTACGCGGTTCGCATCGAAGAATTCCGCATCTTGAATGAAGGTCTTCCGGAACAAATTCGAACGGAGTCGAGCAACGACGCGCTCGCCGACGATACGCAGAATGACAATGCGACCATAGTTAGCGGCAGCACCCAGGGTCATGATTCCGGCCAGTGCACCATAGAACATAGGTACACTCAAGCCGAAAAGCTGATCCGGAGCGCCCTCATCTGCTGTCTCGCTGTCTTGCGCCGACTTCGTGGCTGCGTCCATAATTTTGCCAATAGAGAAGGGAATAGACATCGTGATCCCCGAAGAGATTAGTAGGAAGAAGAAAGCGAAACCAAGCTTTTTAGCCTCTGGGCGCGCGATGGATAGCAGCCGCCAGATCTCCTTGAGGCCAGCATTCTTTCCTGAAGCCCCGTCTTTGGCTAGCTTTGCTCGGAGGTTGACCTTAGCTGCCTGAGCTGCACGTTCCGAAAGTTCAAATCCCTTGTCTAGATCCTCGTCGTCCTTATCCCGTGTCGTGTCATTTTTAGTTTGCGATAGTGTCGTCTGACCCGTTGGTCTGGCTTCCTGTGATATCAGAGAGGAGGAGAAGAGACGAATGCATCCGAGCATTTGCGATCGATCAATTGCGGTTCGTGCGCGATTGACATGAGAGGGCGGCGGTCCGGAGGGTAGAGGGGTTCCGTGGTAATTGCGTAATATGCTCGATGGTCCTGAAAAGTGTCTCTTGGATCCAAGCAAGCTCGTCCCAACGGGAGAGGTATTATTCTGGTGAAATAGTTGAGAAGCGATGATTCCAGGCGTTCGAGCTGTCTGTCTGGCAGCTACTCCTGGAGCCCAGGAGGCCAGCAGCCTGGCTCCGCGCATGTCGGAGAAGTGTAGAGGGCGGGATCAGATAGCTGCTGAAATGGACGACGTTTGAAGAAACGAGAATGCCATATCCTGCTAGATGCTCTCAGAGATCATGGGGTACATGTTCTAGACGAGCTCAACTTGCTGATCACTGAGGGCTGATTGTAAGATTGATGGAGGGGAAAGCCAGAAAGCTGGAGGTCAGCCGCGAAGCCCGCCGAACCTCCGGTCCCGAGCATCGCTACTTCGGCCTCGCATCGGCGACGGTTCTGCTCTTCCACACCGCCTGCTGTGATTCCGCCGCCATCGAAGCTGGTCGAGAGCATTCGATGGATGTTAAAGCAGCAGTCTGCGCTTGTTGCTGTGGTTGCGCACGATTTATTTCCCTGCTGGAATAAAGAGACACCTACTTTCTGATCTGAAATTCCCCGCCTTAATCACAACCGTACCCAACCAGGCTGTGTTTTGCAGTACTAGTTTAAACAGTTGCTGCTCTGTTGCCTACCCCACCCCCACCTCCTTAACTATACTTCCTTGAACATCGGCACACTGAACCCACCATGGTTCTCGACTATAGCAAGTGGGATGCTCTCGAGCTGTCAGATGACTCCGACATCGAAGTGCATCCCAATGTCGATAAGCGCTCCTTCATCCGAGCCAAACAGGCTCAGATCCACCAGCAGCGTGTGCAGCGCCGTCATGAGATCCAAACCTTCAAGTATGAGCGCATAATTAACGATGGCTTGCTCGCCCGCATCGACAAGCTTCTTACACTCCTGAAGCAAAATGAAGGCTCCTCTAAGAGCCCCGAGGAATTCGTTTTCCAGGCTTTAATGGAATTCGCCAGTAATTCGTCAGAGGACCTGCCTCCCCCGCCGCCGGAGGGAGTCCATACACAAGAGAAGGAACAACCCAAGTATTCTCAGATGATGGGTGCTCTGGTTGATCAGGTCAAGAAAGAAATCGGTGAAGTCAGTGATGATAGGCTTTTCTCGGAATACATCAAGGGCGTGCAGGGACATAAGGATAAGGTGCAGGGTCTACAGAAAGAGCTTCACCAAAGACTTGCGCAACTGGAGAAAGAGGAGAGCAGCAAGATCACCAGCGACCAGCTACACACTGGCTTTGACACTTCGCATATCGCCAAGGGAGGCGAAATGCAAGGGGCCCAGGGCTCGTCGGCGAAGACCCAGACGGTCGAGCTTCTGAACCCCGGAGCTTCCGCTGGTGCTTCGTCCCAGAAACCTGCAGCAGCCGATGATGAGGATGAGGATGAGGACCCAGAGGACATGAAGGCCAGTGACCTGGCCAAGCGGTTTGCAAAGATTGACCGCAGCGATTACCGCGCTTTGTTGCAGTTCATCTCCGCGAACCCCCAGATCGTCGCTGAGAGAGAGACCGATGGCCTCCTTGTGGAGGCCTTCAATAGCCAGATGGAAGGCAAGGAAGAGTATGCCCGTCAATGTGTCCACCAGGCATTGCTGTTGCAATATTGCCGGTCCCTCGGCCGCGACGGCATCTCTCTATTTTTCAAACGGTACGTGTATGAAGTGCTTACCAGTGAAAACAATACGCTAACATTTCCTTCACATTCTAGCATCACAACGGCAGACCACCAGGCCGGAACCCTTTTCCGAAATGACGTGAACGAGACCTATAACAAGATCAAGACGCGTGCTGCACAGCTCGCCAAGGATGGCTCCGCATCCAACGATCCGGCTGGTGTGGAGCAGATCCAGTTGCATGCGGTTGACCCCAACACCAAGATCAGTATTGCTATCCCTGCAGCCGAGAGTCAGGATCCCATCGAGGTGGAGGCGCGCAAGGTCTTCGAGTCGTTTTCGAAAGAAATGCAGAATGCGTTGGCATCAGAGTCTCTGGACGAAGTTAATAAGGTTCTCGGAGAATTGAGCGTTGAAGAGGCGGAGGATGTCGTTGAGAAGCTGGGACAATTCGGCATGCTAAGTCTCGAGGAGGGCATTGTCGACGCCACGACTGAAGAAGGTCGGAAGAAGTTGGAAGAGATCGAGGCGGAGAACAAGAAGGAGAGGGAGGAGATAGGCGAGCCAGGAGGTGATATCACCGAGTTGGATTGAGAAGTGTGAATATACAGCCTAGATGCCATTGACTTAGGTCTTTATATTGTTATCATCGAACCCCGACCGGCAACTATGCTAATATTCCGATCATCTTCTTTCCACATACTGCACTTACTAACCCAAGCCATCACAGCTTAGGCATACAATAGTCTTCGGAATTGATCTGCAGGTGTTGGGTTTTTATTCCGCTATGTTACGTAGTTCCACAAGGTGTGAAAGAATTTAGTGTTCCAATATGCATGATCTAGCTACAGAAAGGGAATAACGAAGATATCAAAACATGTGACGAAAATAGGATAAAGGAACATGTGATTAGGAAGCCACCACGGCCCCAAACGGTCAACATAGGTATATTCAGGTTGGTGAGGAACGTGGAGGCTCTTGGAGTCGATGCGGAATAACATGATGTTCATGAGAATGGCGCTGAAGTGAGTGATAAGGTATAATTTCCAGGAGACTTTTACTTTTCGGTCCCGTTCGCCAACCGCGGAGTTCAGGTGATTCGAGGTCTAAACACCGCCAGCACCGGGTGCATTCTGGTCCTTCTTCAGATCGAGCAGTAACTCTCGGAAGCGCTCCTTGCCAGATCCGCTGGCGCCACCCTTGCTACCCTTTCCAGACACGTCAACCAGTTTAGCAATGCGTTCCCAGCTAGTGCCGCCAGAGGATGTGTCTTCACGATTAGAAAGGAACTGCTCGGCTTCGGCGCGAGTCTGAGCGCGCAGCTTGTCTGTCTTGTTGTTGTAGGAGACGTAGAAGTCATCAATATCCTCCTGCGCCTTCTTAATGGTCGCTTCCTTCTTCTCTTCGGAAATTTCGGCACGACGCTGAATGTCTGCATTGCGTCTTTCACGCCATTCCCTATAGAAGTCGCAACGTCAGAAACATGAGCAGCATGGAAGCGACGGAGCGGTGAAGAGCGGGGAAAGTGGCGTGTAGGCTTTCTCGAGCTTGGGATGGTGTTTACCTGACGGGCTCAGGCTCCTCGTCGGGAGCTTGGGAAGTGTAGTTGGTGTATCCAGTAGGCGGGAAGGGGGCCCCCGTTCCAGTGATTGTACCACCAGGGGCAACTTGCTGTTTGACCAGCAGTACATTAGTATGCTTGAAACATGGCCTTAAAGGGATTGAGTACAATGCGTACCTCATTTTGTGTGTCGAGAGCTGGAAATGAAGATTCGAAGCCGCCGATCTCGTTAGGAGACGCATCGCCTGCGGCTGGGAAGGCATCCGCACCACCACCAAGTAGATCGTCATCGTTGTTTACGTCTTCGGTAGCAGCGACATGGTCTTGGGGAGTTGCAAATTGCTCGGCATCATCACCAAGCATGGCTCTTTCGCGAGCCAGAAAGTCGTTCTCATCAGCACCGCCATTAGTCTCCATCACCTCAGTTTGGCCTAGCGACGGGTTAGTATCATGATGTAGTAGAAGCGGCGATGATGCGGGTTGCTCACCCGCGGAGAAATCCTCCAATGAAGGGAAGCGGTCGGCCATGTTTGATTGGTTATGTGAGGTTCAGAAATGTTATGCGACTTTCCACAGTAACGTGCAGTAACTGTCAGAAGACGAAAGCGATGAGGAGGAAGAGGGAGGGGACGGAGGGGAATGGATGTAAGGTACCAGCTGGCGGGTTGGGGATGCGGGCGGAGAGTACGTTTGAATGGGCAATTGGAGAACCCCCCGGATTCTGCCACGGAGGGCGGTAAGAGCTCTGGGCTACAGCTTGCATCGGACCTGAGAGAGTGACTTACTCTGGGAATCCTTCACTTTCACCTCAGTAGCCCTTTTTTCCATTCTCTTCTACTCCTCTGGACCTCGTCTTGGCCTTTCTGTATCCTCTCCTTGTCCGTTCGTATCTCCAAGGGTTAGACACCATTTATCTACCTATAACAACTCAAGTCGCCAGCCCAAACATACCGAAATCCACAATTACCCCATCACACTTGCCAACCCAGAGTAGATTGTTGTACTGAAAGAGCGAGGCAACCACAATGGCTTATACCGATGACGCTGTCAAAGCGAAGCTCTCTGCGCTCAACGAGACTCAAGAAGGCATTGTCACAGTCGCCCAATGGGTTATGTTCCATAGGTAAATGATCTTGACAGCTATGGATAACCAATTGGTCTTGGCTAACCAGGTCCGCAATCGATAGACGACACGCGGAGCGGACAGGGCAGCTTTGGCTGCAGAAATTGCGTGAATCGCCTGCGCCGAAGCGATTGAATCTGATTTATCTCGCCAATGGTACGCACGGCACATACTACTAGCCTGGTCCCCGAAGACTGACCCAACCCAGAGGTCGTGCAACAGTCGCGCGCGCGGCGCAAGGAAGACTTCCTCCTCGCGTTCTCTCCAGTATGTTACGTCAAACCCTCGTAAGATTCAGGATAAAGCTGACATCTACAAGATCATCGCGGAGGCTACGGCTACCGCATACAAGGGTGCCTCGAATGACATTCAACAGAAGCTGCGACGAGTAATAGAGGTTTGGAGGGCACGGGCAATTTTCGAGCCGTCGATTCAGGATGTTATCGAGGCTCGAGTGGATGGTAAGGATGCTTTGAATGGACGCTTCAATACAACTTTAGCTCATATCTTTTCAGAGATCGACAAATCACGCTCTACTGGGAAAAAGCCGCCATTGGGCGGATCGCTCTTCTCAACGTCGTCCGGTTCTACCCCATCCGAGCTTCAGCCATTGGCCCCTTTGCAGACAGCCCTTTCAAAAGCCACAGTAACTTCGACTGCATCCGCCACCGCTGCTAATGCAGAGTACGATAAGCTACACGATCCGAAGAACCCGTTGCCTACCCCTCCGGTGCACGCTGCACGGCTCAGCCAACTGTTGAAAGCTCTGGCGAATGCTGAGAGCTCCGTGTCGGAGGTTATCAAATCGCGGTTGGCACTAATTGACGGTCTTGAGAAACTGTTGGAGACCAATCGCTCAGCTTTGTCAAAGGAGCAGAGGCTGGCCACGCAGCTCGGAGAAAGAAAGGCCGAAACCGAGGCGACCAAGCGGGAGGTCGAGGATGGCATCATGCGAGGCCTGTCTGCGGAAAACTCACCTGCGGCTACTGGAGACCCCGGGCTTGGAGGAGAAGCAAGTGTGCCTCGGCCGGAGGTCGAGGCTCTGACTCCTCCGCCTGTTGAGGCCCTAACACCCGTTGGCTCTCCGAAACAGGCTCCCCAGGAAATAATTCCAGGACTCACCAACGAAACCCAGATTATCGGCGGGTTCACACTTCCTGGAATTGAGCATCCTCTGAACCCATCTTACCCCACATCAGATCTAGGCCCGGCAATTTTTGACGGGTCGAATGGCCTCCATGCCAAGAAACGCAAGGTCACTCACGAAGAGGAGGACTACGCTCAATTTGCGAGCGGCGATCTGGATGCTGACGTGGCGGAGCTCTTGAAGCAGGAAGGCGATGCACAGAAATGATACCCCGCACTACTAGGTGGGTATACGGATATGCAAGCTACCGCTCTGATTTCGACATATTCACCAGCCGTTCATTTTCAATAGAGTGCTTTCATTGGCACGCATTATCAAGCTCCGTATTTCCGCTGTTTAGCCATGCTTCTGCAGGGAGACACTTTTTACAATCTTTTATGATGTTGGCTGGCTGTTGGTTGAATTAGCTATTGGAGAATGACAATGTATCACCCGGACCATGCGAAAATACTGGATTAACGAAAAGAACTATGGGTATATGTCTGGATCCACCCATTTGTCCCTCGCGACCCTGGTCAACGACGGTCGTCTCTTTCGGTGGTAGCTTGACCTAAATGCACGAGAGCTCAATCCAGGGAGTGGTTGGTTTGGCTGTATAGAGGGTGGCTCCGATGCTGGTGCCGGTGCCGGTGCCGGTGAAGGAGGCGCGGGGGAATCATGTTTCTTTGGTTTGACTAGCAATACGATGAATAACCCTGCCACCAATATTACCAAGAGGAGGAGAATCTTGCGTTTGACCGTGCGCCGCTGGTAGTTAGTAGCCTGAGATTGGATGCTTTATTAGTCCCATTTCGCAATACGACGACCAAATAGAACTTACTACTTTGAGCTCCTTATCTGCTGCCTTGACCTCCGTGCCCATACGTTCAATGTTGTAATCTATGCGATCCAGCATAGTACCCTGATCAATCACCATAGCCTGTAACTCGCGGAAGATGTCTGACAGCTCAATAATTCCTTTAGCGATGTCATTGATTTCCCGTTCCCGTTGTACGATAGCGGCGTCATTTGAAGTTGACAGACGCTGGGAGGTTTGCATGAGAGTGGACTGGGAGAAGGACTTGTCCGCGTCTGATTCCAGGAGGGAGGGATCTGTGAAGGCATTCTGCATCGGGGTCGGCGACCGGTCAAAAGAGGAAGCACCACCCTCCAAACCTCGTAACTCTGCCAGCCAGACAAAGGTTAGCGCATAGAACCAGAATGTACAGGGCCCGAAATCGAGGGCTCGCAGCCGCAACACTCACTCTTCAGGTAATTGCTTTGTTTCTTCCTGAACCGAGCGCTGGCTTCCTGCACGCGTGCGGCCAGCGAGATCTGTAGATTCTTCGCCATGGTCTCATCTCCGCTGCTGACTCCGCCCTGCTGTTGAGCATCCCGCACCATCATCTCGATCCTCTGCACGGCCTTTTGGCATACGTGGAAGGAGCGCGTGATGTCCTGGGTGAGTCGCTCGATGGCTGCTTCGTCCTGCTTCCTGATCTCTTCGTCGCCAAACCCGGGGAGAAGGTGCTTCTGGTGTAGCTTGTCCAGCTGGGCGGACTTCTGCGCGATGTCGGCGAGCAGCTCTGTCACTTCATCCTGCACATCGACCCAGCGCGGGGGTAATACATCCATCTCGATGATAGCGTCGCCATCCTCATCTGATCCGCCCGTCTCGCCGATGAGTCGGCGGCTCTCTTCAGACTGTGAGGGGATGTCGGAGAAGCCATTGGAGGCGCCGAGATAACGTGGCTTCTTGGCCGGATGATGTGTGAACGACTGACGGTAGGAGATATAACTATGATCAATGGAAGATCAGCATATATGTCCGCAAGAACGACCGGTGTATAGGTATGAAGAGTACAGATTGGTCCGGTCCCGCCACATTGTGAAGTAATGACTGTGGGTGTTGCCCTTGTTCTGCGGTGTTCCGTCAACGGGGGGGGGATTGCGCCTCTAGACTGCTGCTACCCTGATCATTGTCGGGCAAAACAGGAG